CTCAACGCTTCGAGCTCCAGCTCAGTCACTTCTTCCGCTGCTTCTGCTCCAGGTTTCTCATTCCCAAGTGCAACCGCCTCTGCACCCTCGTTTTCGTTTGCCTCCAGTTCAGCCGCGCCATCTACTACCACTTTGTCTGCTGGTTCATCGTCAAGCCCCACCTCTAGCTTCTCTTTTGCGAATGTAACAGCCTCTTCTGCGGCTCAATCATCTTCGGGGCTGGCTTTAACTACAAGAACTGCTTCTACGACAGTAGCTACAACGACTACTTCTAGTGCTTCCACATCTGCCAGTAGCACTCTGTCGTTCCCTTCATTTGTTACATCTTCATCTAGTGCTACACCAGCTACTGGATCTGTTCCAAGTTTCGCAAGCCCTGCCATTGGTGCTGCTTCTTCCGGAACTTCAAGTTCTTTTTTGGGATTTCAAACTTCCTCTAAGACTACAGCTGCTACTACCCCATCTTCTCAACCGCAATCTACAGCTGCTTCATCTTTGTTTGGTGAGTTTGTTGGTATAATTATCTTTAGTTTCTGGTTTGAAGTTAATGGACAGTATACATGGTATTGGTACATTATATGGTCATGTGAGTTCATATAATAACGATTTGTAGGTTATCTTTAGCCATTGTTTTGTTGATTATTGTGATTTGAATAATTAGAAGTAGCCAGTGAGATAATCAGGTGCTTGCTTAAGGATAATTTAGGTATTTAGTATTTGTCGGTAATCAGTTTATTGTTGGCAACTTGTTACCCATTTTATGTGCTTAACCAAATCTGATCATTTTGATTCTAAGTTATGAGAAACCTAGACACTCTCAAAACTGGTTATTGTTACTTTATAGACATCCCTTTAGATTGTGTCGAGCTCATAGTAGCAATGGCATTGATGAACAAATTGAATCTAACTTGTTTATTTCCACATTTGAGAGGTGTGTCTCTCCCAAAAAAATTGAATGATTTTATTTTTAGGCCATAATATATATATTCTGTATTGTATTAACTCTTTTGTTGTTTGTGTCTGAAGGTATTCCTGCAGCCACAACAACCACTTCAACCATTACAACCACTACTGCTCAAACATCATCCTCACTTGTTGTAGCTTCCAGTAGCGGGTCAGTCATCACTCATCACCACAGTATATCAAAATATATAATTTTTTATTCAAGTTAAAATATTATTTTGAAAACAGTATTGCTGATAAAGATCATAAAGTTCATCTTTATCATACTACTTTTTTTTTTAAATAAATTGCTAAGGCATGTGATTGTCTGCAGGACAAGTACGAGTGTGAGCACAGCTGTTGTCCCTGCACCAAAGTTACCATCTGAAATTACTGGAAAGACTGTTGAGGAGGTACATCTTAATTTCCTTGATTGCTATTCTGGCTAAAAAACAAAGTCCTATAATTATAAATATAATGCAAAAATAAAGTATGTTAACAGCCTGCCTATAATATTAATGTTAGAAAGATGTAAGTAAGTAGGTTGCTGTATTGTGAAATTTGAGGAGCACATCATGACATTTATTTTGGGTTGGGTTTCTTCTTTTGTTTAAAGATCATCAAGGAGTGGAATGTGGAGCTCCAGGAAAGAACCGGAAAGTTCCGGAAGCAAGCTAATGCAATTGCTGACTGGGACAGGAGAATCTTGCACAACCGTGATGTTCTTCTTAAACTTGAGGTCACTCATAACTCTTTTTTATTCTTAAACTTAAGCTCAAGAGTGGAAATGAAAAAATAGCTCTTTTTTATTTATTTCTTGATTTTGAATTTTGTTTATAAACAAAAAAACAGGCAGAAGTTGCTAAAGTTGTTGAGACCCAATCAAACCTTGAGCGCCAGCTGGAACTTATCGAGACTCATCAGCAAGAGGTAGTTTGAATATTATGATACTGAGTGAGGGAGGGGTAGTAGTTGTAAATTGGTATAATAATAATAATTAAATAAATTATTGTTGTTAGGTTGACAAGTCATTACAAAGTGTGGAAGAAGAAGCTGAGCGAATATACAAAGATGAACATGGCCTACTTCTTGATGATGAAGCAGCTTCAACCAGAGATGCAATGTAAGTTTCTAGAGTGGAGGGCATTTACGTCTTTTGCACATTACAAACAAGGCGCTTCTTATTGTTTTCATTTGCTAAATTTCAGGTATGAGCAGGCTGAATTCATAGAGAGAGAAATGGAACAGATGACTGAACAAATAAAGTCGGTTATTCAGACTCTTAATGCCAATCAGGTTATTTGTCTTTTTTTATTTGGCAATGCAAAAAGCAGCTTTGAAAAGTAAAAAAAAAATGATTAATTTGAATATGTTTAATAGGCGGGAGAAGTTGAAGCAAGTGATGGTATGGGTATGGGTATGGCCCCACTGGATGTGGTGGTTCGGATCCTTAACAATCAACTCAGTTCATTAATGTGGATCGACGAAAAGGTTGTATTTATATATTTAATTTTGTATTTACAAAAATAACAACTTTTTTTGAAAATCAGAAAAATAACATAACTAAATTAAAATTAATATAAACAGGCTGAAGAATTCTCTTCGCGTATTCAAAAGCTGGCCAAGCAAGGATCTGCTGCTGACCGGGAACTCATGGCCCCAAAATTTTGGCTGTCTCGCTGAATGTCTTACTGTTCTTTCTCTCTGCTCCTTGCTTAACAGTAAAAAAAATTATTACTCCTATTAAGAAATTTGGATATGTGAAAACAATAACCGGATTAATATTATTGTGAAAATGCTATTGCTAATATTACTTTTTACATCATCAACTTCAGTAGTTTTTATATTCATTCATTTCTTAATGTTTTATCTAGAATGGATTTGAGTTGTAGTTTCTTCATCTTTAACATGTTAAATGATGATACGTTTTTTGTTTAGAAAATAGGTCATGTGTCAATTATATGTTAAGGGTTTGGGAGGAAAAAAGGTATTCATTCTTCTGAAATTGATAAGTAACTTGGTTCTTCTTGAATGACAACATTTTCAAATATAGTATTTTCACCTTATGTTTGGGTTACATGGAATCTAGATTGTGAGGATATTTCAACAATCTCAAAGCATGACACCGATATGCAGGAGTGGTCAGTTTTGGATTGAAACCGAACCCAAACCATTAATTTCTTTGGTTTTTTGGTTTTGAAACCCGCCGGGTTTGGTTTTTGAACGGGTTCAATTTTTCGGCTCATGGGTTGGTTTCTTTAGTTTTCAGGTTCAACCCATGGGTTGATGTGTTTTGGTTTTAAACTGATTTTACAACAATTCTAAATAAAATGAAACAAATTCAGTGTGTTGTCATCTTCTTTGCGTGTAGACTCATGAGCCTTTGTCTTGCTTGTGTCTTATTTACGGATCAACTAGACAATTTATTGACTTTGGGATAGGGTTTGTGTTTTCATGATGTACTCGTGCCCGTGCGAAGCTTAGAGAATGAGATAAGAGTAGTGTTAGTAATGAAACAGACGAGGTTAGGGTTTTAAACTTTTCTATATTTATTGTTTAATAAAACATATATCATTTATTAAAAATATATTATTAAATAACTAATAGTATGTATATCAGCCTATCAGGAAGATATGAACTTTTATAGAAAATTTAGTGTTGCACGTCATGCTTGACGTGCACGTCTGACACCCGAATTCGTCGAGATTGGAGAGACGTGGACCATCAGAAGCGTGACATGTGGCAATGTTGTGTTAGTGAGTTGTTATTATTCATCCAATAGTCTTGATTGAATTTGGCTATTCCGAACCTATAATCGTTAATCTTGCAAAAGTCAGAAAGATATGTATAGATCTATACGGGGTTTGACACCCCCACCTACGATTGCTAGCTACAATCCCGACATGATAACTTTCTTTGTTTCATTATTCGACGTTCGATGAAACATCCTATGGGGGAAATTATAGTCTACAACGTCGATTATGAGGACTAATGGTAATACATCCTGAAAGACTTAGAGATTTAACTACCTAGAGGGGTGAGTAGTTAATATAATAGATCAGGATCGATAAAATATTCTATAAAGATAGTAAGATATGATTGATAAAATATCCTATAAAGATATTAAGATAGGATTGATAAAATATCTCATAAAAATAGTAAGATATGATTGATCAAATGTCTTATAAAAATAGTAAGATAAGATTAATAAAATAACCTAAAAATGTATTATAAATTAAGAAAAACAATACAGAACCTTAAAGGACAATATTCAGAAAACCTCTAAGATTCAAGATACAATGAACTTTAGAAGATCAACATAGTATAATTTAAGAAACAAGGAATATAAGAAAAATGATCATAATCATTGTAAAAATTCCTAAAAAGTTTTCAAATGAGTTTATTGAATGTTTATTTAAACCTGCAAACTAATCAACATCAAGTTGACGTTTTCAAAATCGTATATATTCCTAGGATGGAGTAGATATAACATAAGGAATGACAAGTAGCTTAAGATAGATAAGTTTCTTTTATTTATCCCATGTAATAAACATTATTATCAATAAAAGGTATTTAAAGTTTGCGCTCTGTGATTTGGATAATCTATATATCGTCGTCACCCCTCGACATTTCCGCCGACGGCCGGGGAAGTGTGACACATTTTCACCCATCGTATATGTCATTTCATTTGCAAAATGTATGTAGTATTTTGTAGACTTTTGGTCAAAACACGAGCAAATGGATTTAAAATGAGGCATACTTGATTCACAATTGGCGTATTTGATTTAGGTATTTGATTTAGTTTCTAGTACGCCTAATTAACCATATATGATGTGTGTATTAACCGTATTATATTAATTTAGCCCTTTTATAATACGATTTTCATTACAACCGTATTAGATACGGGTGTACTATATTACCTATTTTCCAGTAGTACGAGGCAAGTAAGTTAAAAGGATTGAAGTGTATTTCAATTTATTTCTTAATATTATAAATTTATGATCATATCTACCAACATCAATTATGTAATCGAATTTACAAAATTATACAAAATGAATGGGCCAGCTTAATTCATAAAGTTAGACAAAAACATGGGCACAATTAAGATGCAGAGTGGCATTGCACTGATAAAAAAACAAATCTTGCACATTTTGGGGCATTTTTCTGTATTCTAACGACTAACAAGTAAAGTTGTTAATCTGACAAAAAAACAAAAAACACAGTGAGTATTAGTAAATTTGCCATGATGAATTCAAAGAAGGTTGAGGCGCCCTGATGCATCAAGTAGCTGTTGGATGTTATGAGCAGCAGAAGTCAAAGTAGCATGACCCTTACAGAAAGCAAATCTGATATATCTATTATGCTTCTCTGAACTTGTATGGAAAAACCCGCATCCAGGAACAGCCACAACTCCAGCTTCTTTTATTAATTCCTCCACAAATTCAACCTGAAAAATCCATCCATCATAATTAAAACATAAAAATAACAACATGCTATTTAATATAATAAAATAGAATGGATTCACATACGTCCATAAGTTTGCAAGTATCTGGAAGCGCTGCAAATATGAAAAACGAACCCATTGGCATAAATTGAACCTGGAACCCCACATCTCCAAGCAACTTGAACACAAAATCTCTTTTTCCTTCATAATCCTAACTCCCAACACACCAACTACATTATTGTCAAAACTAGAAAATATAAAAACCTACATTTTAAAAATCCTCTTACTTTTCTCAGTGATTTATAGTACTCTGGTGGACTTTTTAATGCAGTCAAGGCAGCTTCCTGAAATGGCGCAGGGGCAGAATCTGTAAGTTTCGCATGAATGTTTCTGATTGCAAACGCAATGCAAGATGGACCTATGGCCCACCCCACCCTCCACCCTGTAGTTGGTCAAACTTAGTCAAACACCCAAACCAAAATGATTAAAAGATAAACCCACCCACCCACCTGTGACACTATATGTTTTGGACAAGGAAGACGTGATGATGGTTCTGGTTTGCATTTCTGGTAGTGAGGCCAGGCTTATATGAGGTTTTTCATTGTCATATGTTATATGTTCATACACCTGCACAAACATTTTCAGACTCTGAATGCAAAAATAAAACAGATTCAAATTCATGTATATAATTAAAAGTTATATCATACTTCATCTGTAACAACTATGCAATCCTTTGTTATGCAATATCCAGCAATCATCTGTAGCTCTTCCATGTTAAAAACTTTTCCAGTTGGGTTGTGAGGACTGTGTATAAAATTCCAAATTCAAAAGTATAAAAATATATAAAATTCCAAATTCAGAAAAATATATGATATATGATATACGTACCTATTCAGTACCAGAGCTTTTGTCTTTGCAGTAAAAGCATCTGAAAGTTTGACCTCGTCAAGTCTCCAATAAGGTGGGTCCAGGGCTACATACACCTGTTAAGATTCAAGATTCATTCATTCATCATATTTCATATTCACAAAAATTATAGCACCGAAAACTTACAGGGACTCCTCCAGCCATTAAAATACATGTTTCATACGTTTCAAAACAAGGATCAAAAAGTATTACTTCATCCCCAGGGTTAACTACTGCAAAACAAAACATAACATACAAAAATATAGATATTTTTTTTATTCGTGTTTCTGAATGAGTATAAGGGGATTATTGGGAAAGTTGTGAGTAGACATGCTTGCAAACATTGTGGCAGCAAATGCCTCGGTCTGACCACAGCAAATGGCAATATCTGTTACGGGATCAACATCTAAGCCATGCATTTGCTTCATTTTATCCGCAACCAGATCACATATTCCCTGAACATGCCTTCAATTACAATTTGCAAAAAAAAAAATGTCAGTTCATATGTCTGTGTAGAGCGCATTACACTATATCAAAGCTGAAATTACAGTATAAACAAGTGTTGGGATTTGCGTTTAAACAAGAGTTGCAATAACTTGGTTGGAATGTTGGGTAAAAACTGGTTATGATTTTAAGACAGAAGAAAACGAGTTAATGAGATAGTTTATTTCACTATCCCCCCAATTTTAGGACTATTTTGAACGTTGTGATATCAAACTGAAACCAACTCCCGATTAAAAAAATGATGAATTCGGCCAAAAAAACACATAAAATTAGGGATCCAATTCTGGAACAAGTGGAAGTTAACAGACCTGTATTGGTTAAAATCGGAGGTGATAGCGGAGACGGCGGCGGCCTTGATATTGGGAGGTGCCGGGAAATCAGGGAAGCCTTCGGCGAGGTTAATGGCGTTGCTACGTTCAGCTAGATAAGATAGTTGTTGTATTGGGGAAGGCTTTAGGGTCTTAGCTACCGACGACAGCTTTGCTTCCATGGCATTATCTCATTCCTAAACAACCCACCATGTACTGTAGAAAAAGGGGGCGTGCAGTGCAGAAAAGAACTACAGTATATCAGTAGCAATTGGTAACGTTGACTACTTACTTGACTTTCCTCAACGCTGACTCCTACGTAAAAAGTAAAAACATCTTTCAAAATAAATAATTACTTTTCATTATTATTGCTTTATAAACCTCATCTTCATGATCCCTACTCCGTTTACCACTCGGAGAAGCTACTGTGGATGATGATGGAGAAGCAGTTACAGACGCAGATACATTTACATGAACAGATTCAGATTCCGACAAAGTTGATGACCACTAGAACTAAATAGAAGATTTGGTATCACAAATCACAAACTCAAAACACAAACCTTGTATGAAGTTAATGTGAATAAGAACTAAATAGAAGATTTGGAAAGAATTTATATCAAAGTGGAGAGGGAAATGACACCGTTACAGTAACAAAATCCAAGCTCTATTCGACAATCTTAGATAGTGGCAAAACGCGCAGTAGTTTCGTGTTCTTGGCTACCACTACACGACACAAAATGTTTTTTCTCAACCCGAACACGACACGACACGATATCGTGTTTTTTTTATTAACACGAACACAACAAAATTAACAAAAAACAGCCAATTGCATAGAGCCACCCATAAGTTCTAAAAAAGTTAAATTCAAACTTGAAAAACACGAATAAGACAACAAAAATTACATAAAACAACATAGAATGATGTAAAGGTCTTCAATTGTATGACTCCATTGTTTGATGTTTAACCGTGCTATCTAATTCCATAATATCATCCGTAAGTTCTTGTAAACACATCTCTTCATCGCTTACAAAACAATAAACATATTAAAATTTGTTAATCATTAATTAAAATATCAACAAGAAAACACAATTACCTTTAATCTCATTTTTAGTTTCACATATGTATTGTTTTGAGCAGGGTTATTGACATAGAAGCAAAAATAATGTTTTCCATTTGGTTTTAAAAGGTCCTTCAACTAATTTTCGTTCCTCTAACCCCACTAAAGTGACAAATTACCTGCCAAAATAAGGTTTTCTTCATTTTATTACCGGTTACCCGGTTTGTAACACCCGGTTCCCGATACGTATTTAAATTTAATTAATTGTATGTTTTTACACTGGGACTCGACGAGTTGGAGGCCCAACTCGTCGAGTAGACTAGACTCTTGGACGCGGCTTTTAAGTAACCTACTCGACGAGTCGGAGAGCCCGACTCGGCGAGTAGGACTGTCTGGATGAAACCCTAATATTTAGGGTTTGCACCCTATTTAAACACCTTATCTTGTCCCAACCCAACCTCCATCATCCCTCCCAGTCCAGAAAAGCCCTAAATCGAAACCCTAACATTGATTAAGTGTTCTTGAGTCATTTTTGTGTGGTTGTGGTGGTTGTGAAGCTTGAGAAGGAAGAAGGAGCGTGGGAGTTCAAGTGGAAGCTAGTAGATCTAGAGGTTGTGTCCCATTTCCAGCTCATTTGAGGTAAAAAAGCTTCAACCTTGACCATCTATCTCTTAGATCTCTACTTAGGGCTCATTTCCACCCTTTCTAAGCCTTTATAGAGTCATACTCGGGATTTTGTGGTTTTAAGAAGGTATGGCTTCAGATCTGGAACCATTGAGGGTTCTTATGGAATAAAGGTGCCAACTTTACTGCCATAAGCACCCCATGCATCTTGTAGACTCCATTTTAGGGCCTTTTATGCCAAATACCCCATGGATGGACGTCAAGTTTGAAACTTTACGTGTATTATGGACCCTAGGAGGTCAAATCTATGTTTTGAATGCATCAAGACCTACTGAAATCGAGTGTATAGTTTTGGACACAGAGGGACTCGGCGAGTCACTCATGTAACTCGGCGACTCAGTTCGAATTCCCCCCCCCCCAAATCTCCTCTGATAATGGACCATGTGTTAAGTTAGAAGGACACTCAGTCAGTTGGGCTCATTGAGGACCTGGAAATCATGGGACTCGGCGAGTGTATGAACTAACTCGGCGAGTTTAAGGCTATGTCCCAAGAGTATGAAGATGGACTCAGCGAGTCCAGCACCAAGAGCATCACCTTGCATGAAGATGAACTCGACGAGTTCATGAGGAACTCGACGAGTCAAGGACTAAACGTCCCAGCTAGCATGAAGATGGGCTCGGCGAGTCCAAGGATGAATTCGCCGAGTCACATGAATAGGGTCTCGACTTTGTATCATGGAACTCGACGAGTTGGTGGACCAACTCGGCGAGTTGACCAAAATTTGACTTTGACCAACAGTTGACTTTGACCATGGTGTTGACTTTAACTTTGACCTTGACCTAAGTTAACCATGAAATGGTAACTAAGGAAGATGATTATGTATAGGTTTTGAGAGGAGTTGATCCCGGCAGCAAGGACAGTTCAGACACTTAGCTTTACGAGGTGAGTTACCTTCCAGTAGAAATGGGTCTAAGTAACCAAGGCCGACCCGCTAGTACGAGTCATAGTAGAGATGATTGTCTTCGTGATAATTATCTGGTATGTTGTTATCTGTTATGATTATGTGTCAGTATGATATGACTTATGTGATAATGGTAGTAGGGGGAATAGTCCCCGGTTACCGGTCGATAGTGCCCAAGGGGTAGTCCAGTACCCAACTATGCTAAATAGTATGTTTATGTTATGTTATGTTATTATGTGGTAGTGGTAGGGGTGAAATAGTCCCTGTAACCGGTTGAGATACACCGGAGGGTAGGTCGGGCACCCATATATGCCTGACAGTGAGGTAGGTTGAGCACCTTGGTATGCTCAGTAGGGTAGGTCGGGCACCCAGATATGCCTGACAGGGTAGGCCGAGCACCCAGATATACCCGTCAGTATGTGATTTGTATGGTATGTGGTATGATGGGGGAACATGGCTAAGTTTTTTATGATATGATATGAATCGTTGATGTTTTTCATTAAACTATTTTATGGGTTACTTTATTAAAAACAAAAATTTTTGGTCTTGAAAATTGGGATGTTACAAGTTGGTATCAGAGCGAGGTTTGAGGGATTCGGACACGCCTTCGGGGGTGTCTGGACTCAAATCGAGGGTTTGAAAGATTTTTACAAGAAAATAGTTTTCCTAAAATTTAAAAATAAGAAGGTTTGAGAAAAAACAAGGTGTGTGTTGCGTACAACCGGCCGAGCTCAAGTAAGTTTTCCCCAAGATACCCATACATGTTATGTTATGATGTGATATGATTATGAGAACCGCATGCTAGATTAGGTCTAAGGATCTAGGAATGATGCCTTATACGCTTGTTGCCTTTGTATGAGAACTGCATGCTAGATTAGGGCTAAGGATCTAGGAAGATGCCTTATGTGCCTGCTATATGTGCTTATAGAATTATATGTTAGAAATGATTAGTCAGTAATATGATGGCCTGAGGAGGATATGCTTGGTATGGTTACTTTATGATCGAATGCTGCTTGCTTTGTGCTTTTAGAAGTTCTAGCTATCTTTAGCTAACTAGTAAACGAATATGTTAAGTTACATATTGCGAGGACTAAATAATTTCAGAAGGTTAGGTCTAGCCCTATTGCGCAGCTCGTGTTGAGTCCAACCGTTGTAGGGAAGGGCCTCTCATTCGAAGAATTATCTGGTCTTAGTGATATATAATGGTATTCGCAAGCTAGTTAGGTGAAGGTGGCGGGAATTCCATGTGCAGCTGATGGTAGAGAGTAGGTAGGAGAGTTACCCTGGGGTAAGCCTGGGACGAGAATAGTGGGGAGAGCAGTAGTAGTAAAAGGGACTTGGTGAAGTCAAGGCAGTCCTTGAGGAAAGTACGGATAGATGTGGAAGGTAGTATGGGCCCGTACTACTAGAAGCAGAGGATTCGTACTCAAGACAAGGAGGGATGAGATAGAACCAAGGAACTTATAGTATGAGAAACCTCTCGAGGTTATGTATGACTGTGATGATTATGTGCTTTGTTTCAGAATGGTGATGATTACGCGCCACGGAGCAGGAGGATCAGGATCAGGATCATGATCAGGTTCGGATCCCGAACCAATTGATGAGAGACTGCACGAGTTCATTGCGTCAGACATCACGAGAGGCATCCTTGAGGCGACCCCGGTGATTTTCGGGTCGATCAAGGAGGGGATTGTCGAGTTGATGGAGGATCGCCTCAGGGCGTTCAGGAACGATATGACATCCGGCCAGGAGGGGACTCGCACACTATCCTTCAAGGACTTTAGGGGATGTGGTGCACCATACTTCCACGGGGTAAAGGACCCCATTGTTGCCAGAAGATGGATTGCAGACATGGAGTCTGCTCAGTTGACTAGCTTCTGTCCTGAGGGGTCGAAGGTTCGATATGCTGCTGGATGTTTGAGGGATAGGGCTAGAGATTGGTGGGAGTCAGTGGGCGATTCTTTGGGAGCCGCAGCCATTGAGGCTATGACCTGGTCTGACTTTGTGACCAGGTTTAGGGCTAAGTTTGCGCCGACTGTGGAGCTCCGGCAGCTGGCCATTGAGTTTCTTGACATGAGACAGACTACAGAGTCGGTGGCGGAGATTACCGCCAAGTATCGGGAGAGGGCCTTATTGGTGCCTCAATATGCAAGAGACGAGGAGATGCGGAAGACCCGCTATCATGACATGTTGATGGCAGATATTCGGAAGCATGTCAGCTACTCAACGTGCCCGACCCTGGATTCCATGATTGCCAGGGCGAGGGAGAGTGATATCGATTTAGAGCACCTCAGGAAGAGGAAGGCAGAGACGGAGCAGGTTACTGGGGTTTCGGGGAAGAAACCTAAGGGATCCGACGCTAGGTCGAAGGGACATCAGGGCCGGAGCCGCTGTGGAAAATGCGGCAAGCCACACGAGGGGGTATGCAGGGCGAGGGTGTAACCAATCGTTATTTCAAACCTATGTAATAGTATAGGTCAATGTGTAGTTCTTTTTATAATAATAAAGAGAAATTTTAGCATAATGTGCATATTTACATAATTGACCCTCAAAAATAAATTATTTAGCAATCTCGATTGGGATGAACCAAGTGATAGAGATTGTAACAA